TGTAATCAGACAAAACTGGAAATACACAACTACGAAATACAAGAGGATCAAACTAAACTGCATTACTAAAACCTCTAAAATAAAGCAGTCATTTATCTGAAGGAAAATCATCCCGGCATACTGCCTACTTGTCAACACTCAATTACTTTAGGACACGTTATAAGGGGCTCACTTGAAGAGCGACTGTGGAAAGGGGGAACTGATACAGACCTCTGGTTTCAGGCAACTGGACGCCTGTTTGTGATGATGAATTACTCCCTGACAGGGCACTCGGGCAGTGTAAATCACACAGCGGCCTCTTTGGGCTTAGTGAGTACCCTTAACAAATCCAATAAAGCAAAGCTGCGTGATCTCCTAATGTCAGTGCCAATCTAACGTAAGCAAGACGAAGAAACAAGGACTGTCATTCTCTGAGAATACTCTGCTGTCTTGTGCAAAATGAGAACTGGCATTGATAGGAGATACAGGTTAACAGTTGAAACTATGAAATCAAAGCAAATTCCAGGGGAAAAACAGGTGACAGGTATATCTGGCTAATATGGGAAATCTCTCTTTCTAAAATGTCCCCTGCTGGGCATGGTTCTAATTCTAATTAGCTTCCATCCTACTTCCTGAGCTAAGCAGCAACACCGTACCAACCTTCTCTGCTGTTGTGGTCCATATTTGAGCAGCATTTGACTCAGGTGCCATTAGCAAGCTGTGCAGCAAGGCGATCACTTCTGCAGCCATGCTGTTTGCCACGTGCCCGCTGATAAACGGGCGGACAGGATCAGTCCTGCAAGTGTCGACATGGAAAACTGTTGATGCCCGGTGACAGTTAAGAGTGCAGAGAAGTGGCTTTCAGGGTTGCATCAGAGGGAAACATCTTCTAGTTATATATAAAAAAAGTGGATTTTATTGACTAAAAAAATTAAATGCTATGTTATTGTTAGGAAGAAATCACCTCTCTCATATTTTCTGGGGCATCTGAAAATTCCTGTGAAATGACAGATTTCAAACTTTTTACTGCATAAGCCCCAAGGATGAAGGAAAGACACTGCCGGCTGCAAGTGCAAAACACTTTGTACAAACTTCCCAGACGCAACACTCACACGTCCCTTCTCCTCCTAGAAAGAAGTTTGTGTGTGCAGTTGGGGCAGCGGGGAAGTGCAGTGAAAGAAATAAAGGTAGTAACACCGGGGTTTACCAATGTTCAGAGTATCCCCTGGCTATAACGTCCACTCACCCAGGACCCACCTGGACGGTCATTACTCCCTGACATGCTCCCAGGCTCTACTTTGAGAGCAATTACTACAACAGATGGATATTTTTAGCCCCTACTCTTCACTTCCAGCAGGTCAAGGGGATGGTAGAAAATTAAAACCCTAAAAACAAAGTCAGTCTGAGATGGGTGGATAGCTTCTACCTTGGGGAAGGTTTTTACCTTGCAAGTTCGGAGTTCCTCTCTCGGCAAATGGAGGTTTGGGCGGTTTTCTTTTTGTCGCCTGTGGACAGTCCACTCACAGTCTCTGGGTTGATGGACTCTACAGGTGGCCCGACACTGACGATGAGGCCTGACTGTGCCCACTTGGTCGCTTTCCGAAGGGCGGCTGCGGCCTCTTCTGTAATCACTTCGCAACAGCCACCCTGGGGGTCGGTTTGCAGACATTTAGAATATTCACTTCACTCTTCCCAGCATTGTACTTTTTCAAATCTCTCCCCCTGCCCATTACCAAACCAATACAGGCTCGTTTTTTAAAAATCCAAACATAAAATATATATAGAAAGTTAAATTTCCATAAGCATCTCATGCCTTCACCCAGTCCGAGATAATTGTCAGCGATCTAGATTTCTTCCATGCAAATTCTGACATACATAATCATGGGGTCTTACCACACACAGAGCTTTCCAATTATCAACATATCATGGGTACTTTTCCAAATCAGTATATATAAATCTGCCTCATTATTTTTCATTGTTGCACAATATTTCATTATATGACTAACAATTTCTTTAACCAATCCCCTATTTTTATGATTAGGGGAACATGGATTCTATTTTGTTTTTCAAACAAAGCTGTGAAGAGCACACTGTGTGTTTATCTCTGGACACCTGAAAATATATATTTACCCTCACCTTGACAATCATGGGTATTACCAATGCTTCTTAACTCTACCTGTCTGACAGGTGAAAAATGATATATTACTGTTGTTTTGATTCCTTTCCTTTAACTACCTATGTGCCTGGGCATACTTTTATATTTTTATGAGCAATTTGTCTATACTTCTTATCATGTTATTCTCTTAGCAATTTTTCACCTCTCTTCAATTTCAAACTATTTTAAAAGAGCGAAGAAAAAATTTCTAGGTCAAAACTGAAAGTTCTCTATTATGATTTAGCATTAATGACAAACTGATTTTGACTAGTTCTATACATTTATCTATCTATCATCTATGTATGTATGAAACAGGGTGTTGCTTAGTCACCCAGGCTGGAGTACAGTGGCACAATCATAGCTCACTGTAACCTCAAACTCCTGGGCTCAAGTAATCCTCCTGCCTCAACCTCCCGAGTACCTGGGACTACAGGTGCGCACCACCACACCTGGCCAATTTTTCTATTTTTTCGTAGAAACAGGGTCTGTCTATGTTCCCAGGTTGGTCTTGAACTCCTGGTCTCAAGTGGACTGGTTTTCCTTAAAACAGCTTCAGTTAAGCCACTGACTTTAATTTCTCACTCTGTCTCTTTTTTGGGAACTTGAGCTCATTTTTTCTTTCTAAAATTTCTCCTGAAAATCTAAAGCATGGCAAATACTCTTCAGTGATGGGTTTTGTTGGAGCAGGTTTCCTCCATGAGGTTACCTTGGTCATGTCTCGATCCATCTTCACAACTTTCTCCATGTTGGCGCCAGTACCAAGTCGGAAGGGCCGTCCTTCTGAGCTACTAAAAAAGGCAGGCAGAGAGCGGAGCACACCTTACAGGCACTGCGAAACGTGGGTCACACACCATGGTTCACCCAGGCACGGTCAGGCCCTCGTTATACGCTACAACTGGCTCTTAAAATCCATAGTAAGACCCTCAATTTTTCAAAAAGGAAATGATTTATTGCCACTTAATTATAGGGCCCAAAACAACAGCTGTTTTTAGAGTTGTAACAATATCTAAAAATCTACATGAAACCGATGCACCAACGAAAGAGCTGAACAAAAACGGCGATCTCAACCTAGAATAAAGGCAGGGCTGGCACACGGGAAATCATCTACATCCCAAAGGGAACTTTAACAACAGCTTGAATCTGGTGTCTTGGGGCCAATGACTGGATCTTTCTTTCTAATAATTCAGCTTCTTCTGCCTCCTGAAATTGGCTCTCCAAAAAAATCTTTTGCCAAATTTGTGCTATGATGGATCGCAATGTTCAAGAATGTTTCTTGGAGGTTTCTTCACCTAAGCCCTGCTCAGTTTACACCACTATCCCATTAGTGCTTTCCGTTGCCATAATGGCAGACAAGGGATCCAATTATGAGGATGACAGCATGAGATCATTTATTTGAAGAGAGGACTCTTCCACAGACATAAACATCTGTTCTAAATTCCCTTGTGCTAGGTGGCAGGCCTTCCTCTTGCCCTGGGGATCTTATTCATAAGTCCCTATAGGCTTGTAATATTTGGGCAATAATTATATTGTTACTTTCTTGTTGAGTAACCATATCATTCATAATTTAATGAATTAAAGTTTTAAAAAGTGTCTCTTATTTCTCTACCTCACAGTCCATGGTATCCCTAGATTTGTCAACAGCTGAAGGATGCCAACACCTGAAAACCAAACTGCATTATTCCTTTCCAAAGCCCAAGTCCCACAGTAGACTTCACACAGACAACAATACATTGTCAACAGGGCTTTAGCTCTCTGTTGGGTTTGGAAAGGCAGTACCAAGTTGTGGTTCAGAGCTTGGGTTCTGTGGTCAGAGAGGCCTATGTCTGTCTTTCAGCTCTGCCTCAGTTTCTTCATGTGTCACCACAGGGATGACAGTAACTTGCTAGGGTTGTTAGGAGGGCTGAGACGGTCAATATACATAAAGGGCTTACGTAGCACAGTGCGCCATGGGCAGTGCTTGATGACATGTAGCTATCACAATCATTACAGTCACCTTAGCAATGGCTGGAGGACTTCATGGGATGACTGGTCTTCCCGCTTATGGATAAATATAGACAGCTTGCCATCCACCGCTTCACTCTCTTCTCCAGGGTCTTTATCTCCTTTTAAGGAATTCTTGGGACTGCTTTTTGTCAATGTGGTGTCAGGTTCGGAAGCGGTTGGAGAAAGAACTGTCTGACATCCTTTAAGCAAAAAGCAAAACCGATTCAGAAAGATTGTGGTGTTGTTTCAGCAGCTCGGCTATACATGAAAAACACTGGCTTTCGAATCTGCCCCCAGCCCGTCCCCGCTCCCATCTCTGTTAGTCCCTTTCATCACAGGAAGCACGGGTACAAGTGTGCACAGGAAGTGTGCGCCGCAGTGCCATTCTCCTGTGCACAAGCTGCTTACCCGGGACCACGTAATCTGCCAGCTTTGCTAAGAGCAAGGAGGCGATCTTGGACGCTGGGTCGCTGGGATCCTCCTGCTCACTGTTCAAGGAGGGGACAGAGTAGCTCCAGGGCGGGAGCTCCACGTTTCCACAGTCTTCTACGCTCATCAGTGGCAGCGCCGCCCGGCACAGCTGAAGAATGATAAGGACCAGCTTTGGGGATGGGCGTTGGTCAAGCAGCAGGGAGAGGAGTTTGGACACACACGCTGGCTGGCTCAGGATGGCTTTACCTATGTGACTCCTGGGGAAAAAGGGAGAAAAGGTAAACAATGCTAGAAATGTACGTCTACAGACATTCAGAAGCAAGTGTTTCCTAAATGAGGTAAACAAACCATGACATTAGATTTCATGAAGAAGAAATGGATTTGGCACTAATGTTTCTGTGAAGAAGAATTAAGGTTTTTTTATAAACATTTGATGAGATTAAATGACCAATAATTCTCAAAATATTTCTGAATGTTTTTTGATCTCTGATGTTTACTTCATTGAGATTCCAGATTCAGGGTGATTTCATGGAGCACCGAGACTTAGAAATCCAAACTGAGGGCTTTTCAGTTTCATCATTTATTCCTTCTTACTGAGCGTTTCAAGACCAAAGCTATCATACAGCGTTGTATAGGCCCCTGGGATCTACCACAGCAGAAATGGTATATTCCACAAAGAAAGCGTATAGAGCCCCGCGGAAGCAGGAAAACACAGTCGTAGGTGGACAAGCTTTTATGGGCCTCATGGCTCACACAGGGGGTATTAAACCACCATGGAACATCTTCTTCTAAAGACACGGCATGAGAAAGTAAGTTAATTACAGGCCCCGACTTGTTATTCTTTAATCTAGCTATAATGAAGGTAAGATTTTGGGGTACTGAACACAACTCGAAAGGCTAGCAGCTGCTGCCAGGAAGGTTTCAAAGCAAATGCTAATACGTATTACTTTATGATACAGCTATTCACCTAAATACTCCTTGTATTTTAGAACTAAATACTATGTTTCAGAACTTTCTTCTCTATCATTAGCCTTGAGGCAGGAGCGTGTCAATCAGCCTAGCAACTGAGAGGTTTCAAAAGACAACCAGCACCAGCCATCCCAGAGGAAAGCGGCTCTGGGCTGGGCGCCCCATACCTTGAGAGGTCGTTGAGAAGACTAAGGACATCCTGGAGGGCGTCATTTCCAGCAGCCTGGTTGCCGCAGCACTCGGTTGCTCGGGCGAGGTGGTTAGTGAGAAGGCTGGACACCTGACGGGCCAGACCCGAGTGCACGGCCTCTGTGGAGCCCCCTGCAGAGCCAAAGGAAGAAAGAGCCCGGTGAAAACCCCAGGAAGCTATGGGGAGCCTGCGGGAGTGGCCAGCCCTGCCCTTGTCTAATTTTTCTTTATCTTGCTCTGTGTTTCATTTAGTGTTAGATAATATATACACATAAAAAAGGTAATAGTTACTTAAAAAAAAATCATTCAATGTTGGGGGGAGACATTACTCTTAACAAAAACTGGATATAATTAATCCATATATATAACCAAGGAATATACTTTGATAGAGAAGAATTATCATTTTAAAAATATAAAAATATTTAAAAATATCTTGATTTTTAATTAAATCTAATTTATTTATTTTTGAGGCAGGGTCTTGCTCTGTCACTCAGGCTGGAGTGCAGTGATGTGAGCATAGCTCACTGCAAACTCAAACTTGGGGGCTCAAGCGATCCTCCTGCCTCTGCCTCTCGAGTAGGTAGGACTATAGGCACATATCATCAAACCTGGCTAATTTTTTCCTTTTTTTTTTTTTTGTAGAGACAGGGTCTTGCTATATTGCCCTGGCTGGTTTCAAACTCCTGGCCTCAAGCGATTCTCCCACCTTGATTACAGGAGTGAGCCACTGCACCTGGCCCATCTTGATTTTTTAACTCATACCTTCCTTTCTGGATCTTTCCACAGGAACTGCAGTTCCAGGGCCCCACAAGTACCCCTTATAAGGGCCACAAAAAATTATTTGTCATTTCTTAACTTCCCACCCTCTTTTGGATCCATGAGTCTACGCTCGCTGGTTGTTCTACTTGAAAGTCCTCTTCATCCTTCAAGACTAACTCGAGTGCTTTGGGAAGCTTTGTCTGATCCCTAGCACAGCTGGCATCTAGAAACCTCCATACTCCCACAGCACTGCACACCCACTGACTGTGGCACTGGTTACACTGTAGGTATTTGTGCTTTAGTCTATTTTCCCTGCCAGACCATATTTCTTAAAGAGATGACGATGTTTTATGCATCATCTGCCTGGTACATAGTAAGCTCTCAAGACATTAAAATGCACAGTGAATGAGTAAACAGATAAATAAACAAGTTATATGCACAGACTTGGGCTATTATGGGGAAATTTATCCTTTAAGTTTACTTTTTAAATTAGATCGGTCACTAAAAGTCACTCTTAAAATTGGATTAGTCACTAAAAGTCTAATTTGGAAAGATTACCTTGAAACTGCAACTACAAAATCACTTCAAAAAATACTTGGACACTGTTAGCAGTGTTGACAAGAAGATAATGAAAAATACCTTCTCAATTTTCTGGGGTTATCCAGGGTGCTAGGATATCGCTTAGTGTCACAGCACAGCCATAAGTTTCAAAGGACCATACTGATGAAAAGGTCCTCATGAAATCATTAACGGACTAAACCCATCAGATTATGTAATTCAATAGAGCCTTTCTCCGCCCCCATCCAGCACAAAAACACAGCAAACGAACACACCAAGAAGAAGCAATCAGCGAGCTCTACAAAGGAGTCCGGCTTCTCACCTTCTTCTTTTTCCCACTCGACGCAGCGGTTGGCAAGCACCTGGAAGGCGGCCCAGGCCATGGTGGCCACCTTCTGCTTCTTGGTTTGTTTTTCGCTGGAGCTGGACTCGGTCTGACTGCTCAGGCTGCACAGTCGATCCATGAGCTGAACGAGGCCACTGCGTACCAGGCACTTCTCTTCACTCCTGGCAATGGAGAGCAGGTTGCACAAAATACCAATAACCGACTGACCTCAGGAAACTCGCGAGTCAGGTTCACATTATCAAATGGGCATAAAGCATGTCAGTGTAGTTCTTTGGCTACAACTTAGGATGCTGCCAGGTACAGTTAAACACCAAACTATTTCTCATAATGATGATCTCCTTCATAAATAAGGAACTTCAAAATCTGGTTTGTTCATACAGAACAGCAAAGTAAAAATCAATGGAATCAGCTCAAGGTTGCCATATGAGAAAAATGTTACGTGTTGTCATAAGGGGATTCAAAGAATGACTCCATGATCACTCGACATATGCAAACTACTAATTAAGTGACCTAAGAGAGGAAATAAATGTGCAAATGCAAAATATTTTTGCCAAATATGTAAGTAATTTCCTAGGGACCTTTTATTTTTCTTTGAACATCCCTATCTTCGCAATGTAATGTAATCCTAATGGCTGCATTTGGTCACGTAGAAAATCAATAATAATAAATTTATGCAGGAACTTTAAGTATCTTTCAAGAGAAAAGCTTGTTTACTTAGTCACTGGATATTCAAAGCAAAAAGTCCAACTTTTTAAATTAAAAACCGCTTTTATTTAATTGGCTGTATTGTGGTATAACTCACGTGCGATAAAAGGTACTCCGTGCCTACCTGGTGTAAGGTATGGTACATAAGAGTCCGATGCTGTTTGCACAAGCGATAGGGTAACGAGCGCACAGAGACACCACAGAGGTCATGGTCTCGCCGAAGGCTTCCTGGACCTGCTCGACCATCCCACCACATGTGAGTTCTTCAATTCTATGAAACAGAAACCAAAGCTGAGGCTTCCTGAACCATGACAAGAACAGTGGCCGCGACTATGAGAGCAGAAGAGTCCTTTTGAGAAACCCAGAGTTGTCCGGATGATTCAAACACTGAAGGTATCTTGGAGGACACCCAGCTCAGTGTTTCCCAAATCACACAAGGCCACTGGGCAAAATTTCTAGGTGTGCTTCAAACGCAATGGTGCACAGTCAAGAAAAGTCTGGGAAATCCTGGGTTAGGGAAAGTAAAACAGGGTTCTCTGCTGCAGGACTTCTCAGAGCCTTTAATAAGGTTAAAATGCACAGCCTCTCTAAGAACTGGGAAATGGAATCCAACATTTCCCAAACTTATTTGATAATGAAGCCTGTTATTTAAGACACATACACAATATACCATGCAACACTGAATACTGTAAATGCAATTTTATTCATGAGAAAATCGAAGATGTCAATTTTACACTTTAATTATGAGCAGAGTACGAGAGCCCTGTTGATACAAAATAAGACTTTCCCAAGGTGAAAACACAACATCGGCTGATTCTTTAGCAATTAACTGAAACTATCTGGATTTATCTACACAGATATGAGACATAATATTGTTTATAGTAACAAAAATGAATAAATAAAACTAACCTAAAGTTTAAAAATAGGGAATTGGTTAAGTTTCAAGAACATGATATAGTGCTACCCAACCACTAAAAACACTACAGGAGAGGATGATGATTAGAACAAAGACACTAAAGTGTTAATAGATGTTATCTTAAGATGGTAGACTTAGAGGTGGTTTTATTTCTTTGGAATTTTCTGCATTTTTCAAGTTTCTGACAAATAACACTCATAATTGAAGGAGAAAGAATAATGCTGTAATAATGCTGTCATTGTTACGGAGAAATTATTCTGGAACTAGGCCGTGGTGATCATGAGTGCTAATCACTGATATTTCTCCTTCTGAGCATCCTGTGGCTGGGTGGGCAATGACTGGACTGGCCAATGAGCCAGAGTTCTGACAAGGAGGCTGAGAGCTCTCAAGGTGACAGTCCCCTCCTGTGATTACCACAAGCCAGGATGGACCCACAGTAGAAATGAGTAAGACCTAAAATTTTGTCTTTTAAACCACTGAGATTTTGGAGTTGTTTGTTTCTAAGGAAGAGCCTGACCTCTCCCAGCTGACATAGCAATCTCTCAAGACATTCACTGCAGCTGTTAGTTAACACACTTTCTTCCAGCCACTGTCACTTGGCCTGTGGGCCACAATTCCTCAGAGAGTTGCTGGGAGACACAGCAGCTCCAGCAGTTCTGGTCCAAGGTTTGTAGAGAAATGCAATCTATTTCTACTTGAAGAGCTCTGAAGCCCCGTAGGGAACATGTATAGTAAAATTCCTCACAAATAAGTTACAAAATCTTCTTCAAGTATCTATAGTCATGTTTTTAGAAATTAATAATTTCTAAAACATACAAAAATATAGGCAAAAAGATGTTGATTGAAGCTCTGTCGTTTATGCAAAAAACAAAACTAAACAAAAATGAAAGAAAGGAAGGAAGGGAGTGAGGGAGGGAAAATAAATGAACCTATGTGTCAACAGTAGAGGATGAGTTAAATAAAAAGACAAATGGTCATCCATCTAATGGAGATCCACGAAGCTCTCAAAAATGACAACGCGGACCTATATGTATTGACGCGAAAAGGCAGAGATGAGGCCAGGTGCAGTGGCTCATGCCTATAATCCCAGCACTTTGGCCTCAAGCAATCCTCCCACTTTGGCCTCCCAGAGTTCAAGACCAGTCTGGGCAACATAGTGAGACCTCATCTCCACAAAAAATTTTTTAAAAAAATTAGCCAGGATGTGGTGGCGCATGCCTGTAGTCCCAACTACTTGGGAGGCTAAGGCAGAAGGATTGCTTGAGCCCAGCAGTTCGACTCTGCAGTGAGCTGTGATCAGGGCACTGCACTCCAGCCTGGGTGACAGAGTGAAACCCTGTCTCCAAAGAAAAAAAGGAAAAAAAGAAAAAAAACAACCAGAGATGAGCAAAACCACCATGGTTATAGAAAGACATGTATAATATAATCTGAATTAAGTAAAAACAATCACGGCCGGGCACGGTGGCTCACGCCTGTAATCCTAGCTCTCTGGGAGGCCGAGGTGGGCGGACTGTTTGAGCTCAGGAGTTCGAAACCAGCCTGAGCAAGAGCGAGACCCGTCTCTACTAAAATTAGAAAGAAATTAACTGGACAACTAAAAATATATAGAAAAAAATTAGCCAGGCATGGTGGTGCATGCCTGTAGTCCCAGCTACTCGGGAGGCTGAGGCAAGAGGATCGCTTGAGCCCAGGAGTTTGAGGTTGCTGTGAGCTAGGATGATGCCACGGCACTCTAGCCCAGGCAACACGGTGAGACTCTGACTCAAAAAAAAAAAAAAAAAACCAAAAAAACAATCACACACATACACACTTATTTTTACACGTTTATGTATAATTGATACAATGAGCTATCAATGAACAGAGTGGAATTTAGGCGGTAAAAGTGAGTAAAGAGACTTTTACACGGTTAAGATACTGCATTTTTTGTGAAATTCTATAAAAATGTAATATTTTAGGGAAAAACATTAGCAAATACCATTGCCTATGTTTTGGCCCCAGGAATAACCTCTGGAATAGCTTCTGCCCGTTCTAGACAGGATAGTATAAATTAAAAGAAACAACTGACCTGGGTCCTCCCTGGAGGACCATCGTCACTGGACCCACAAGATGAGTCACTCCTCCAACGCGCACGGCTGCCGTCAGCAGTTCCCGCATGTGCACCAGGGCCTGCTTGCGAGTGTTCCCCCGCCTCCACCTTGTCTGCGCAGCCAAAAGAAAGCTGCTGCTGGACACCTGGAATGCGTGAGAAAGAGATAACACCTGAGTCTCGCTAACTGTCACGAGACCCCTCGCGCTGCCAGGTGCGATGCATCTGCAGGCTGCAAAACGTGACGTACAGCTTGGTCGGGGTTGGTGCCGATGAAGGCAAACAGCTGCCCCAGCAGGACGCTGTAGGTGGGCTTGTCCCTGCTGTCCTCAATGGCCAGCGACTGCAGAAGGGTAAAGGAGCTGCTGCGGTGGCTGGTCACATGGCGACGCCTACAGGGAACACAGAGCAGCGTTAGACGGGCAAACAAGAAACACGCTCAGGGAGCCTGTTCTGATGAATGCACTCAGCTGTGTGTGGGAACCCCACCCTGGTCATTAGCCACTTACCTCTGATTTGCTCTAGTAAATTCCAAATCTTCATTACCAATCATTTCCAGGTCAGAAGGAGCTGACATGCTGCGAAGAAAAACAGGCTGCCGGACAGCATGAGATATCACCTTTGTTTCAGAAGCTGATTTACAAGCTGGAAAAAAAAAAAAGGGAATAAAAGGGCTAACATTGTTGCTATCCGATTAGTAAGGAGTTATAGCAACATAACACAGAACTCCCAAATGGTCTGAGTGTGTCTTCGCTTTGCAGCAGAGTTCAGCCACCAGTACAGCTGGCACAGCACACTGACAGTTTTTAGGCCATTTTTATAACCTGAATATTAGGTTAAAAATTATTTCAGCTTGAAAAATGAAAATCTTATTAAATTGGTTTTCCCAAGAAAGGCTGAAAAATTCATTCAATTTCATAGCTATCAATGTGCACTTCAACATAAGCACTCTAAAAAGCAAGAGAGAACACAGAAAGTAATTTCTCAATTCAAATAAATCCAGATCCATGTTTTTCAGAGACAGCCTTTGTCACCCCCCCCCATTTAATCCTAGATTTATTTAGCTGACATTGTCATTTGGCGATACCTCTGCTTTTACCATTGTTGGTGGGAATAAATATCACACTTGAGCTAGAACCTGACTGGCTCTTCCTATAAGATGTAGTCCTTAACCCCAGCCAGGGAAATAGTTGTTTTATAAAAGAATACTTAAATGGAAGAAGATAAAACTACCCATAAAGATCAGCTAAGAAAAAAAAATGCTGAGAAAGTAGAGAAAAGGCTATTTTGTATCTGTCTTAAGAGTGGTTAGAGGCCGGGCGCCGTGGCTCACACCTGTAATCCTAGCACTCTGGGAGGCCGAGGTGGGAGGATTGTTTGAGCTCAGGAGTTCGAGACCAGCCTGAGCAAGAGCGAGACCCCGTCTCTACTAAAAATAGAAAGAAATTAATCGGACAACTAAAAAT